AAAAACATCACTCAGTCCAAGGGCAGATAGGCTGTGTTAACCCAGCATTTGGACTCTCTGAGCAGTGCACTGGAGAACTAGATTTTCTAGAATAAGAACCCAAGAAGTTCCTTTTCTAGCTACTGGAACTATCTGCCTGTAGAAGACTTTGTCTTATATTTCTATAGATCTCGCTAGATTGCTTCTTAACATTTAACCTTTAGCCTTTAACTCTTGCTGGGAAGAACCTTGACTTTGATCAGGCTTGGGCTCAGATCTAACTACCCAACCTATTTCTTATAGCAAATGGGTGTAATCATCTTCAAACGACACACTTAAATTGCTTCCAAATTTGTGTCTTCCCTCCAAAGTATTCTGAAAACTGTAACCGTGTGAAAGTGCCAGGCAAACTGAGATTGGGTAGTTTATAGCCAGCTGTGCAGCTAGTATCATCCTTTTTATTTTCTTGGATTTAAAGAAGTTTAAGAGAGAGAAATGATTGTGAAAAGAATGAGAGAAGGGAAAAGCAGGACAAGGGGCAAACAGCAGGAAGTAAAAAAGGATATCACCAATGATGCAATTTATTAAACATGGCTCCCACAGTCTGCAAAAACTAGAGGCTGAAGGGTTAAGGTATTCTAAGCAGTTTCCCAGAAGGTACTGAAACTGCAATTATCAGCATTCATTGAAGAAAGCCAACTTAGAAATTTGCTTTATATTTAGGAAATCTGACCTTTATCTTTATGATCTAGGTGTGACGTAGGCAGAGGTGGGCAGGGGAGGGAGACAAGAGAGAGTGGTTTTAAGTATCAGGAAGATGCCACACAAAATAGCATTTTCCTTCCTGTCCATTTCCCTACACTGTATGACTCTAATAGGTATATACTGTGATTAAAGGCTGACAGCTCTCAAGTGGTGGCGGGATTTAAAGCAGAGGAGGGATATATAAGAAACTGTCCTCCCACCTCCCTTCAAAGTTCATGTTCAGCAGACAGCCACTCACCAGGTAAGCGGGCCTCAGAGCACACCTTATTGTCCAGAACTTTCACGCTTGCGTTGCCAATGTCATTGTTATTGTCACACTCCATACCTAGGTATGCGCCTGTCCTTTGGCCTGCAAAGGAGTTAATGCAGTTAGAGAGGGGGTGAGGCTTTGGTTTAATTCTGCTCCTCTTTAAGGCAGCAGAAAACATCACACACTTCAGAAATGAAGAAAACCTCAACAGTGGCCAAAAAGGTAGAGCAGCCTTCTCCAACCTGCTACCTCCAGGTCTGTTGAAATTTCAAATCCCCAATTACAGTCTCCACTAGTTGGGAATTCTGAGGACTGAAGTCTCTACATATCTGGAAGACCTCAGGTCAAGGGGGACTAAGGTAGAGAGTGGACAATAAGAGATGGGGATGCAGCGGCCAAAAGCTATTGTGGCTGGTTTCCTCCACCACCTCCATTTTCACTTCCTGTTTCAAGGCTATTCTTGCCAATATGGAAATATAAATGGCACAGAGGGAGATATTTGATCTTGTATGTAAAGGTATCAAATAAACCAGTCATAGCACCAGAGAAAGTTCAAGCAAAGCATCTATTTTGTGGTTTAAGTTGTCTCTGGCTGGCATCTATGGAATATTCTGAACAATCAAAACACAGTAGAAACTTGATTTTGTTGTAACAAGATGGTAGAGCCAGATAGGATACAATCCCTTCTCCAGGAAGGTTTATTCAAACGGCTCTGAGAAATCACAGCATCTTCCCCAAGGCTATGGGTTTCATTATTCTGGGCAAGACACCAAGAGAAAAATAAAACTCATGGTAAGGATCTATTTGTGTACACCACTGTTGTTAAAGGTTTGGACAAATTTTAAAATAAAGCAAAATCTATGCTTAAAAAAATAAAAGGGGGATTTCCCATTTGTATACTGCCCGATAACATTCATCAATGTGAAGCATTTCTGACTTTGCTGACAATGAGCAGTGATCTAATCAACCTTAGAGTTCATTTTAATATGATTTACCTTCATAAGAATTTAGATAACCTAAAAAAGTTTCTTGCTAATATTCAGATCTAATTTAGACTACAGAATGAAACCAAAGCTGAAACACGTAGGGGGGATTGCCTCAAAAGGAAACACAAAATTATTTTTAGTAATATTAACAGCAACAATAACTTTCCTAACTTTTAAACAGTCTCAAGAAAATCTAAGAATTTAGTCATTTAATTTCAGCAATGAAATGTCAAATGGGGATATTATTCCAACCCTTGTAACTTGGAGTCAAAAATAATGTGCTGACCTATTGCCAGTAGAAACAACTTCATTTGCCCATTTTTCCTGAAATTTAACAAGGAGAACTGGCAGAACTCTTTAAATTCTCCATGTATTCAAATTTCTTCTACCTGCTCATTTTAAGAAAGGCCTTTCGCTTCAAACTATAGCAATGCAGGTAGCAAACTGAAATTGCCCCAAAGTAATGTTGCCTCAACTCTGTTCTTTCCTCATGAAAATGTGCCTCAGCTCTGTCCTCTTTCCCTGGCTGTGCTAGATGTGAAAGAGAACCAACATGGGGCATGAAGCAATGCTGTATTCTGTGTTACCATCTTCCTGTGTGGGAGAGGCATCCTCTTCTTCCCTGACATCATTCCCCTGCCAAAAAAAATAATATATATATAAGGTATGAATACACAAATCAATGATTCACCATGTAGTAAAGATGATATTTTCTGGAGAGGAAAGCTGTGGCAAATCTAGACAGCATACTAAAAAGCAGAGACATTACCCTCCTAACAAAAGTACGTATAGTCAAGGCTATGGTTTTCCCAGTTGCAACGTATGGCTGTAAAAGCTAGACCATAGGAAAGGCTGAGCGCCAAAGAATTGAGGCCTTTGAACTATGGTGCTGGAGAAGACTCCTGCG